CCCCCCCCCACTCCGCCCCTCCTCCTGCACCTGACACCACAAAAGTATCCTCCCTCCTTTTTAACTCGGACAACAGCTTTGCACAATCCCTTGGCGCTGTGTGAACTCATCTCAGCATCGGGCGCTCCACAATAGTGCCGGGCTGCAGTGCATCTCTCCCAACAAAACTGGGCACTCCCCGACCCCAACACCACACCTCACACTGCAACACCGGACGCCAGGAGCTATTTATGAGGGGCATAGGTCGTCGTCAGACACATCTAACACCGTGCGCGACAGAAAGCTTGGCCGCCAAATACCCCGGACTGGCTATGCATGACGGGTCTCGCCTCCTCTCCCTCCTTCCTCCTGCCCCTTCCGTCCTCAAGCCGAGTGATCAAACAGGACCACATCCATAATCCAGCAAAAACAAACGACTGGAAAATAGAACCAAAACCAAACCAAGCAAAACCCTTGAAACATCATAACCGCAAAAGCGAAGTACCACAGAACGACACACACACACACCCACATACACACCACACACACATAATGCCACGTGTTGCAATCGCCAATGTGACCGGGAAGCAAAAACGGGCGCTGTGCTGCCGCTTGGCGTGACCTATCGAGACAAAAATTCGAATTTTCTCGCTAAAATCCCCGTACGATGGGCTTGCTCTGGTGCAAGCCCTGATCAAGAGCAACTCGAAAAACTGGCCCAAATTGCGGTGCCTGAGCTTGCTACTACAAGAAAAAAAAACACCAGAAGTATGGAAGGTTGCATGTGTTAAAGCGAGTCGTTTGTTGCTGTAGGGGGCCTTATTTGGGACTAGGGAACTGCATGTCCGCAGCAGGAGCAGCATCCATATCATCAGCCATTGAACCGCTTGTTTGCTGTAAAGCAAAGCCAAAATAGCTACATCGCTGTTCAGTGATCTCACTGGGGGGAAGGCAGACTGAGAAACGCAAAAAAAGTGGACTTTTTCTTCAGTATTTTTGACTAGGCAAACTCGCAGCAGTTGATCGGCCTTGGCTCGAATTTGATCGAAATTGCCGGACGACGAACAATTCATCTGCTACTGCGAACAATTCACCCACTGTGCTATAAAGTAATCTTCAGATGTAGCGTTACCCCTATAAAAAAACAGCTTCATATAATACAAGAACACCGCCTACCAGAACAAGCAATTACTAAAACACGGCTCGCCTCGATCCGGCGATTTACGAAAAATTTCTTCTGGCGATGGCGGGTAGGACTACCCATAGCAGGTGGCAGAATTTTGGGTATAGTATGTGAGGGAGAGGAGAGGGAAGGGAAGGTATGCTGCGGGTTTCGTTTGAGACAAGGGAATGAGGGCGGGATAGGCGAACTTAATAACTATGTGCCATAGATTCCTTGTTAGTTGGCTGGGTCAGGTGTAGAGCGGGAAGGGGATAATGATGGGTGGAAATGAGGAGAAGGAGTCCTTCTGATTTTTTGCCGCGAATACGCGGGGTTGGGAATGGGCTGAAATACTGTTTACTTCCAGAATACTCTTACAGTGGGGATGAAGGGAAGCTCAAATGTTGCTTTGCGGGCAAGATTTCGAGGCCTAGGTATACGAGGATAGAAGTCAGGAGCCAGAGGCAGGAACTGGAGATAGCAGTAAAAAGTTAATACAGTGCTAGGAGTAAAAGCAAACTAAAGCAAGCCCGAGTCTGTGAATAAAAGCAAAGAAAGTAAAGTTAAAAAAATCTTGACCTATGGAAACGAGCAAAAAAACTGAACTAGTACGTGTGGAAATTGCCCTTTAAAAACTCGTCCTCAACAACAGATTTCCTTTTTATGAAGTCGAGGCCTAGGTATAATAGAGAGCGAATAAGTTCCATTATAGGGTGTTAACTGAGCAAAAGGGCGCAGACCAGATGCACAGGGATGGAATCAGCCTTTGCCTTTGTAAAATTTTGGGAGGGAAAAAAACATATAAGTATTGTGTACTTCACAGGCTGCTGAAAGCAATACAGTGAAATGTGTGTAGTTTCTGTATAAATCCAATCCAACCTATTACTTCTCAGCCTTACCTAAGCATCAGCTTTATAAATAGAGAAACTTCTTACTGAAAATAGGTTTTTATAGGACAATTTCTGTTCGCATAGGCCCAGTTTTTTCTATTTTTACTTTTTTGCTTTTGTCCATAGATTCAGATTTGCTAAAATTTACTTTTCTTTGTAGTGCTGTGCTGTCTCTTTCCCTTTACTGTTGTCTCCAGTTGTTGCCTCGAACTCCTGACTTGTGTCCTCGTTCCCTCTCTTTATTCTGTCCCTAAATCCTACCTCCAAAGCAACATCTCAGCTCTTCTCCATTCCCTCTATAAGAGCAATGTGTCAGCCCTTTTCTCACTCTATGTGTCCACACTTCCTTTTCTTTCTGACCCATCATCATCCTCCCCCCTCCGCTCTTCCAACGTAAGTAAACTAGCCAACCGACTAAGTAACTACACCATGTAGTCCTTAAATTCACCCCTCTCGACCCCCCGCCTTTGCTTGCAACATTCAAACCTCCGCCATCTACCGTGGAGTAGTTCTACCCGTCATGGCCGAGAAGGAATTTTCGCGAATCGTGTATGGCGGCGGCCGAGCTGAGTCGAGCCGCGAGGTTTATCAATTGCCTTTTGCTGTTGGGTGGGGTGCTGCGCAGGACCAGTCGGCTTGATTTTGGAGGATTTCTCGGAGAATCTTGCTAACGCTGATGGAACAACAACGGGAGTTTGCGCCGATACGACTGCAGAACGAGATCCCTGTAAGTGGCAGTTCGCTGTTCTCCGAGCATTCCTCTTCACTTTCATTTCCGCTTTCTTTTGCAAGACAGAATTTATCTGTTTCTTTTACTGTCTTGTTCGTCCCCAGTCGTCAGAGGGCGTTTTGCTGACAGATAAGTTTTGCCGGACACAGCCTATATATATATACACACACTCACGCGGCAAAGTGTTGTCCGGAGAAGCTCGAAGTTTTTGCAGGAGCACCAGCTGATGCAGCACCGATCAGAGCAAACGAAGAAGTTGCGAGTTGCATTTACACCTGCTCACCTGCTGCAAGGAACTATCTTCAGCTGAAACATTTAGACACACAAAATTATAAATGTACACACACACACGCACACACACACACACACACACACACACACACAAACAATTGGGTTGTTGTGAACAGGGATGAGTGATGTTTCAGTTTGAGCAGTTGAGCGAAGAGGAGCAGTGGCGTGTGGAGCATGAGAAGTTGCACGAGAAGCACCGTGGGCATGAGCAGATGCACATGGAGATGTTCCTCATCCTCATCGTCACACTGGTCGTAGCACAGATCGCACTGGTGCAGTGGAAAAAGCGACATTTCAAGTCCTATCAGGTACGCTGTCCTCGCATACACACTGTCTGCTCACAAAAAAGTGTCGTCAAATCACCAGTTTCGCTGGTTTTTCGCGGGACTTCCACGGCACGGCACGGAACACCTCATTGTGGCTTTTGAGTGATAGCGTTTGGGGCGAATGCTTAAGACATCTTCGAACGAAAAAAACCTCGCCAAGCGTTCTCTGTTGGAGCTGGTAATCCTTCAGGAGAAGAAACAAACGTCAGAATCGCCAGGAGGTGATCACTGTATGATATAGCTTCAGTCAATGGAACTCAGAAAATTGTCGATTATATAGTTGGACTGTTAAAATTAACAATTCTCCCTTATGTGTGATAACTGGCGTCTATTTTTATTAGCTACTTATGTGCAAGGTGTCATAGCAAAGCCAAATGAACGATGAAAAAAGTAGGAGCGGAAGGAATAAGAGGTTAAAAAGACGGGTTAAGATGTTCCGATCCATTAAGTTGAATCAGCTGTCGGTTGGAAACTACTATCGTATTTACCCTGCATACATCGCTTCAATCTAATTTGAACTTGCTTAGAAAAAGAAAGTCAGTGAAAATGCTTTGTTGCGTGTTTACTTCTGATGGAATACACCAGTACCACCATAAAAGCTAGCACCAAAAACCGTAACACATATAAACGCAGGCCGGAATGCATCATGCTTACCAGTGCGATCATGCGTTTTTGCACCAAACTTGAAGTATCTGAAGTCACTAACTGAATGAACGGTTGTTGTTTAACACCTACCTTTTGCGCTCACTCACTTAATTCATCGTAAATTTTTCACAAAGAAAGTGAACAATTTCCGTCTAACGGCCTTTCTTTGAAAATGACCTAACTGATCAGTGAGCAATTTTCCCGCCAAAAACTTAAGTGCCCATGCGTGAGAACTGTGCATACCTGAGAGTTGAATCAGAAATCGTTAAGTTGTACTTGGACAGGGAACATTTTCTTAAAATTTCACTCCTCCAGTCTTCCTGGATCTAGATTTAGTAGTTTTCCTCGCCAGAAATTTCACATGCTCATACGCAAGTACCACGCGTACCTAAACGCCATTGTATGTGGACAGGGAACATACCTTTAAAATTTCCAGCTTTTCTGTTGTCAGCTTTTCTGTTGCCGAGTTAGCTTTCCAGCTTTTCTGTGCCGAGTTAGCAATTTCCTTGACAAAACTTTCACGTATCCGTACTTGGGAACCACACACATCTAGGGGTTGAGTTTGAAACCTTTAGCTCACACATGCACAGAAGATATCCCTGCAAAGTTTCAGCTCCCTATCGCTTTCCCACGAAACAACTTGCATATTTTTTAAGGCGTCCGTACGCGCTTCCCAGATGTGCGCGAATGGTAATGTTAAAACGAGAGGATTGCACTGGTGGTTGGCACATGCTCCTGAAGTTTCAGCTTTCCAGCTTTTCTGTTTCTCAACTTGAAATTGGGCGGCGCGCATAAAAATGAGGTAAATTTGAGGCTCGTAGGCTGTAGTGTATGAATTTTGCAGTTGTGTACTCTCCTGGGTATGTGGCTGATCCCAGTATTTGTATGCGTACAGCGTTACTGGTGGAGATTCCTTCTCACATGGATCGTGTACTCTCTGTTTTCTACTGTCATTTGGTATAAAGCTACTCGACCTCAGATATCTGGTAAAACACCAAGGTTGGTTCTGAACACCAATTCTTCATTTTAAACGACAGTGTTCCCTGTAGGCGCATGACACACCATATCCTGTATTGAAATTACGATGGTGTTCTGGGCGGTAGAGATATTAATAACGACACATTTGGAATATAAAATATAATTAACTAAAAATCAGATGAACAGGAATGTTTCGGTCCATTTATCTGTCATTGCGAAGGCGTGGAAGAAATCATTACTACTTCATCGGTGCGCTGTAAAAAACTGACGCGAGAATTTCTGGAAGGCTTTTCTGAAGTTTTTGTGTTTTCATTGGGAATTCCATTTTTGACATTTTTTTTATCCTCGTGTTC